TTTTCTCCCGAAGCGAGGGAGACGGGGAGACTCCTCTCTGTCTCCTTCATCTGAGCTTAACTCTTCTGCTGTCTCCTCTTGCTGCCTATACACCCCACGCTGTCTGTACACCCCAGAGAGACAAGTAGAACCAGCAAGGGGCCCCCAGGGCCCCCAGGGGGGCCCCTCAGACCCAAACAAACGAACATTACGCCGCAGCATTTGGTGCTGCTGACGCCTCGCTGCCTTAGCACATGGTAACAGTCCAGGGGGGGCCCCCATAGGGCCCCCCAGGGGGGCCCCCTGGGGGCCCCCAAGCCACCCCGGGGGGCCCCCCAAGCCTGCATAAGTGGTCATAGAGAAGGTATTGATACAGGAATTTATATATGCATATTACTTGCTGCTGAGGAAGGAGCTCCAGCAGAGAAACGAACCTTTTGGTTTATTGTATTAGGTGAATATAAACAAAAAAAAAATAAATGCAGCTATTTAAAAATATATAAAGAGAAAGAAGAAAGGGGGCCCCCGGGGCCCCTGGGGCCCCTATAGGTACTGGAGGATGAGGGGCCCCCAAAATACAATCAGGGGAGAAAGGGGAGAAAGAAGAAATAAAGATAAAAAATATATATAAACAACAAATACAGAAAAAGTTAATAAGGCAGCAAAGGGGGAGGTTTTATGGGATAGTCGTAAACCCTAAACCCTAAACCCTAAACCCTAAACCCTAGACCCTAAGCCCTAGAGACCGTTCTAATAGCCCAATCTTCAGAACTTCATTGAAATAAAGTTTTTTTAATTAAATAGTTTTATTTTTTTTTCGTTTTTATGGGGGATAGGGGTGAGAGGGGAGAGAGAAGAAGATGAACCGGCATGGGCCGCTTGCTGCACTGACCGTCTCGGGTGTTTTTCTGCGTAAAACTGGTATATAATACACCAAAATAAATAATTTTAATTATTTTATTTAAATATTTTTGTTTTATTTCGTTTTATTTTACTATTTTTTTCTCGTTTCGGCGAATGTTCCCCCCGAAACACCACTCATTGCCCAGCGGTCAGCACGGGCGGTGGTCCGGTTTCGTCTCGAGTCTGTTGCATC